TGCAGTGTGAACGCTCTGATCCGTTAACATGGGTGCGGACAAAATACGCACCACAGACGGAGTGTGTGAACCTGGCGTTACGTTTGTATGCCCGCCCGGTCTGTTCTGTTCTCGTGCTCCATTTAGGCGCGCTGCATTCTGATTGGTTCGGATAGCATACTGCGGGAGGTCGAGGGTGCGGAAAATCGTGCTGTAAAGCGATTTAAAAATCGCGCATGCTCAAATCGCGATTTTATAACGATTTCGATTAATCGCACAGCCCTATTTGTGGCCCACAAAAAATGTTTTGTTCATCATGATGATCTTCACAAATGGGCATGACTTTTTTTTGGTCGCAACAACCAGGGCTGCCCTCGACTAAAGATTTTTCTAGTCGACTAGCAGTCTTTTGGCAATTAGTAGACTAATCGCACATTTTTATTAATAAACCATATAATTCATAATAATGAGCCTTTAATTGCCTAGAGCCTATCAGCACTCAAGCACACGCATAAAGCTTGCCACAGCGCACTGCAGAAGTAATGATTATAAATGCGTCAGGTAAAAAACACCAAGAAGACTGCCTTAACATCATAATTATTCATTGATAAACTAGTATTTTCGGCTGCTGTGATGAAGTCGACGACACTGACTTGTCATTTCCACAGTGGACGTGCATGTTTCATACGGATTGCATAATCTGAAAATATTTGTTTTCCATTTGACTTGGTTCATTTAACCTATTTCTATTGATATATTTGTCATGTCTGTGAGGCAAGCACAGAGTTTAGGTTCATTTTTTGACGTGTCTGAGACGCAGATGGCAGAAAGCGCGCCCTGTTTGCTTTCATTATTTTACAAAAGCACAACATTTTGTTGTTATTGTGAGTGCACACAAATAAAAGTAGACCTTTTACAGATTTGAAAGATGTATTACTCTGTATGAGGAAAAAATGACAGAGTATTTTAAGTGAAATGCAAATGATTGCACTGAGTGAGCACTCTACTATTCAGCTTCCACACTCCGCACAAACACTTGAACAGTGCACATTTTTCTAGGTTAATGTTAGAACGAGCTAAGCGACAAATAAAATTATACTCATTGACTTAGAGGGCAGCCCTAACAACAACTTACTTGAAAACATTTTCCCTGAAAATTTGAGTTTGCAAGAGCGAGATTATAAACATGAACTAGTGAGTGGATGAGTTTACCTGTTCAGCGTGACGTTTAATGTCTAACAATCTCTGTATCCCATTTAGACAACTTTTTCAAGACAAGTAAAAGCCTTAAAAATCACAGGGAGTCAGTCATGAAAATATCTCGAGCTTGTGTGAAGCACAGACCTTCCATCATTTAACCCAAAACAAAACCAATCTAAAGTGCTAAAATGCATGTTTCGGCCTACAAAATTCATCATGCTGTCTCTGTTTATCCTAAATGTTTTCTGTTCATTTATACAAGCTGAAGGATGAGTTGAAATAATTTTCTCTTCTAATTTATGGCATGTCATGATGCTGTCCATAGACATGATAAAAATAAAAAGGTTCACATTTAAAACTCTACACGTCTATGGCTACGTCGTCTGCATTAATCCGGAGACTTTGAAAACAGTGTTTTCGTTTTTAAAATGCTCTCCATCCACACGCGTTTTCCAAAAGTTTCTCATCCACACTGAAACGTCGGAAAGCGTTAAATTCGCCTAACGGTGCATGTGTAAGACCTCATAAAAGTTGATACAGACAATGAGTTTTTATGCAGTTCTTCTGGCGGGATCATTTTATTTATGGAAATATCTTATCATTCACTGATGCATCACTACTCACCATTATATTTTTGATCTAAAATGCGATGCAACTGCCCTCATGTTTTGCCGCAGGTCAGCAATTGTGAGTAAATTTCCTCTCATCTTTGCTGGACTGTAATATGAAGAGTGTACAAATCAACATCTTTAGCAACAGTGTGAAAATGAGTAGCACATAACGGGCACAATACCGGTCGATTGGTACAATATGCGTCACATGACTAAACATGCATTGTTTTCAAAAGCCCCCGTTTTCACAGTCCACACTACAACAGAGTTTTCACATTTATCCACTTTGGAGAGCGTTTTCAAAAAGCTCTGTTTTCCTTGACAAAAACGCTGTCTCAGTTTGGACCGAAGGCCAAAACGGAGAGGAAAAAATGCATTCGAAAACGTATTCGTGTGGACAAAGCCGATAAGTGTTGCATGTGTTTCTTTTCTGTGTTTCTGTAGTTAATTCATCTGGAGATCAAGCCAGCCTTCAGGCATCAGATCATCAGGGAGCTGCAGGTCCTGCATGAGTGTAACTCTCCGTACATCGTGGGTTTCTACGGGGCGTTTTACAGCGACGGGGAGATTAGCATCTGTATGGAGAACATGGTGCGTTTAGAGGCTTTTTTGTCATCTTTTATGACTACACTAGTTCCTAAAAAATTTTCAGACAAACCCCTTTGAGCTGAAATATTTCCTTGAAGCCCCC